GGGGTTGCGAGATCTTCTCCGTGCAGCCGGTTTCGGCCGAGGGGCCCACTCCTCGATGCATGGGCGCCTCCCGGCGCCGGGAGGCGCCGGGAGAATCAGCTATCTCAAACTCCCCCTTTGCGATCCCCCCCTTTCGCCCAGCCCGATCGATGCCGAGGTCTTCGCGCACGATGTGTTGACCGCTATATCCCTGGCGATCTTCTGGCGCTCCTGTCTGGCTCCACCTCCGTGGTGCACGGGGGTGGCTCTGGGTGTTGCCGGGGCGGGTCGCGAGCCCGTGTCGGCGCGCGGCGGCGCAGCGTTTGGCGGCCGACAACTGAGTGATCCTTACGAGGTCTTTGGCATCTCCCGTCGAGTTTTTAGCCGGCGAGGTCGTCGACGAAGGGCGCGTTCCAGTGCGCGGAGCCCTCGTGCGGCGCTGCTGAGAGGAGCGGCGCGTCGCAGGCCTCGACGTCGCGGCCTGCTGCAGGATGGTCGCGGTCTGTCGCTGCGGCTGCTGCTTGATCGATCGCTCGTGGCATGATGGCGAAAGGCGCGTTGGAGGCTACGTCGGAGCACGGCACTCCAGGGCGGGTGCTCGTCCGTGGCAGCTGGCAACGGGCTGCATTCTTCGCCGCCATCCAGTTGGTGGCGTGGTCTTCGGCGATCATGGCGCGGAGGCGTTCGTCGTGCATGTGCTAACCGTCGCAGGCAGGTGTCTGAAGTTGTTCGGCCAAGGACGGCTTTATGACGTCTGGGATGTCAATTCTGTCGATCACGTCGTTGAGCTCGTCGGCAGTGGTCAGTATCTGCATGCAGAACTCTCGAATGATGGAATGGAAGGCTTCGCGTAGATAAGGAACGTGATGCTGCGCAATCTGGCTCGTCGTTGACAGTCGGCAGTGAATGCCAGGGTCGCGTGAGTGACGAAGTCTGCGGCCATCCTGGGTCTGGCACCGCGCTGCGTGGCCCCGAGGAGGTCGGGCAGCGAGTCCTCAAAACTCGAGATCGTAGGAAGCCGCTGTGCGTCTTCCCTACGATGCCGTTCTGCAACAGTGCCTCGGTGCGGCTCCTGTTGCTCCCGTGGTCCCTGTCCTTCTTGTGGGCGCGTGTCGAGCGTCCGCCTTTTGGGGCTGTGCCTTGACCGGGGCAGGGGCGAGGAGCCCGGCCGCGCCCTCGAAGGGGTCGGCTTCTGGACCCGTCGTCGGCGAGGTGGGCCGGGGTCCTCCACGTCTGCCGCGCTCTGCTGCCGCGAGCTGGGCTGCGAGCTGGCGTCGTGTTTTTTCGGGGGAGCGTAAGACCCGGGTTTGCCAGGACTCGGGTTCGCCATCGTTTTTTGACGACCGCGACTCGGATTTTGACGAGTAGGAGTTTCGTGGGATGTCTGCAGCGGGAGGCCTCGTCAAAATGCAGGCTCGGCCTCGTCATTTTTTTGACGACCTCGTCGGGGATTTCCGAGTCCCCTGTACCCGGGTCTTACGCCCCCCTGAGTGTTGCGTCGTTCTGGGTTGTGGGTGCGGGGCGAGCCGCGCTGGTGCGGATGTTGCAGTCCTTGGCGACTCCTTTGGCGTCGGTCTTGACGTCGAGCTCGCTCTTGCCGTCGTGGGCGTGGGCATGGTCGGCGATGTCCTCCATGCCGGCGGGCGGATGATTGGGGTTCGGTGGCTTTTTGGGCCTCCTGCCGCCGAAGGCGAGGAGGTGCTTGACATGTCGCGGTTCTTCTCGCATTGCGTGCTCCGCGATGGCCAGGTTCATGTCGCCAGCCGTCCTTTCCAGGAATTCGTCGCGATCCTCCTCAATCTCCCTTTGCAGCATGGGCCTGGTGGCCTTGTGGAACTGGACGGTGATATGGTAATAGATCTGCACGCCTTCGTCGCTGTTGTAGCTGGCCTTCGATGGCTTTCGCGTTGCATCTCCTCGTTGGTAGGTGGATCCTTGTGAGCTGAACGCGCTGGAGGCGGCGATGAGTTTGGCATATTCCTGGATGTTCGCAAGTATTGCAGCCATCGGCTGTTTCGAGTAGTGCTGCATCTTGCCCAAGTAGTGTTGCCATGCATCGAAGGCGCTTCTTGCTAATTACGGAGCCAGGGCCGTTCTGTTCCTGACCGTCTTGATGAGAGACCGCCGCAGTCGCAGCAGTGCGAAGGAGCGCTTCGTGATGTAGGGTTTGTGTTGCCCTGGCCTTCCAATTAGTGCTTTGCGCGGCCCGCCTAGCTCTTAACCGGAAGAGGCTCGCTCTCGACCCGCAGACCAAAACGTGTTGCCCTGGCCTTCTGAGCGGAAGCGCTCATAGACAGCCTTGGTGATATGATCGGTGATGCCGCTGAGGTGGCCGTTCACGTTTGCATTCCATGCAGGGCGCTTGATATCCTGAAACTTCTAGCTGGACTTCTTGCGACGCTCTTCGTCTAGGAGCTTTTTTCCGTCCATCTTCGGGGTGCCCTTTGTGCAGGTGGCGGCTATCGTATGCGAGTGTGGTCCTTGCGGGGCAATGGTCATCTTTGGTCTCGGCGTCGAATCCATTGCCGACGCCGCGGGGTGCTGGGCTTGGTTCGATGGGGTCGATGCAGCTACTGGGGGATGGCGGCGCAGTCAAATCGGCGCGGTCCTTACCTTGAATGCCACGCGTGGCGACCGGGGCCGTCGCTGACGAAGGCGCTGGCTGCCGAGAGGTGGTTGGCCAGGAGCAGCTCGTGGAAGCGTTTGCCGCTGGGGTTCTCCATCGATTGCGCACCATGGTTGCCGATCGCCGTGCTTGTGACGTCGCCTGTCCTGGCGCCGGCGTCGGTGAACATGGTGCTGGCGTTGCGTTGCTCGGTCGCTCTCGCGATCCCAGTCCAGGAGTCCGCCTCGTCGGTCTCGAGGGCCTTCGAGCGCGGAGTGCGCGCAGCGGCGAGCGCGCATGAGAAGCTTGGAGCGTTTGCTCGTGCAGCGAGGAGCCTCGGGCCCTCTCCTGCGACGATAACCAGGTCGGGCTTGCAGACCACCTCTTCCTTGCCACTTTTCCCGTGGGGTTTGTTGAGAAGGATGTGGAGCTCGCGCCCGTAGTTATGCCTGCTGTGGCCGCTGGAGGTGGCGTGGTAGTTGTTGGCGTTGGCGCATGCTGCGCCTTGCCCTCCTCTAACTTTTCGAGGTGCCCTCGCTTCCTCGATGCCGATCAGCTGGGTGCCCTCGGCGTAGAGGCTGGCAGTGATAAGCTTCAGCTTCCCAATCATTTCCCTTCTTCGCTTGGTGCCTTCCTTAGGTTCCCTTTCGGACTGGCTGCTGTAGGTGGCGATGTTGATTTCGACGCATATCTCTCGCTCTCGCTGCTTTCGGCTGGATTGTGGAGATGCTGGGCTTGAGCTGTCGTCGGTGGTGTGGCCGCCACGAGTCCGCCTTCGCTTAGGGCGGGTATGCCTCCTTGGTATTCTGGTCGGCGTCAAGAAGGGGCTCTCAGTCACGTGGGTGCGCGCCGTCCATGATACTTGGCCATGCTGGTTGTGGGTCAGGCGCCGCTGTGGCGCGTCCGTGTTTGGCGGCTGCGTCGGCCACTTCTTCCAGGGGGTACCTGTCGCGGGCATGGGCATGCTGTAGGTTTATCTTATCACTGGCCATGTCGTAGAGGATGCATAGGGTCCTGGCGAGGCCAGGGTCGCGTTCTGTAAAGGCCAGTCGCTTGGAGAGTTGGAGGGCTCCTAGTGAGTCAGTCGAAATTGTGGCGATGTCGTCGGAGTTGCAATGGGTCACCCAGGCGAAGGCCCAGATGATCGCGGTGATCTCTACGGCGGTAGAAGTCGTTTCTTGATCAGCGTTGCTTCTCAGGGCGATGTCGGTGTCTCTCTAATGCACCCCACCAAAAGCGCACCGAAAGCTGACGCCGTTGCTGTCATCTCCTGCGATTGTCACTGACCAGGCGTCGTTGTCTGGCTCTTTTTGGGCGTTTGGAGCCTTGGGTGAAGGGGAGGTACTTCGTGTTCGGCTGTAGCTGTCCTGATGGATGGTGTCGTAGCATGTAATATGCTGTCTCGTTGAGGCTATTATCGTTGAAGTGAAAGGTCGGTTGCGGGTGGTGGGTGTTCTGGAGCGTATGTCTGATCGCTGGTCTGTGGTCGAAGCAGACTTGGTTCCGAGGTGATGGTACAGGTGCAGTAGAGAGTGGGGGTGGTTGGGGGATGGCAACGTTAGTTGTTCGAAACGGTTGTTCGGCCCTGGGTGTCTCGGGTAGGCCGGGTGGTCGGTGTGATTTCCAGTATCCTTGTCGAGGTTGCGTGGCTCGTTGTTTTGTTTTGTACTTCCGTCGTTTTGAAGCGTCGCATAGCTCTTGTGGTCGTACTGGCTGCATGTAAGAGCTTGTTGGTGTTGTTTGTTCCTGCGGGGCTTCTTGTGAGCTGTGGCTGTTGCCCATGGCGAATGGCCATGTTGTCGTTGTCTTATCGGTGCCGTGGGATGTTGCCACGGCTGCCGATAACGTTGGTGCTGTCAGCCTGTTTCTTCGGTGTGTGCAGGCGTATGGTGTTGGGGGATCTTCTGTAAGGGGTCCACATCGGTTTTTGATGATGGTTGGTGGTGCTGCTGGCGGGGGGGTGAAGCTGGAAGCGTCGCATGCAGGTGGCTGTGACAGCGAGGCGAGCTGCTTTCCGTAGTCGTGCGGGCACGTGGTCGTCGCTGTGGTCGTCACCTTCTTGCGCGTGGCCATCGGACACTTTCTTCAGGAATGTGTCCCCGATGCCTTTGAAGCTACTGCTTGAAAGAGCTTAGATGTACTGCGGTCCGATGTCTTTGGGTGGATCTGGATGTTGCGTGCGGTTGCGGCCGCAGTTATGCGTCAAGTGTTTCTTCTTGCTGGCATCGTCCTGAAGGGTCTCATAGCTAGTGTGGCGTTGTTGGTTGCGTGTGGTAGAGCTTCGTTGTGGTTCGTCCCTTTGTGGTTGCTTGCACGTAGTTGTGTAGGAGGTGGGAGCATCGCCGTTTCTCGTCTTAGAGGGTCTGTGGGCTGTTGCTGTCGGTCTTTGCGTAGTCGTCGCCTGCGGTGCCTTGGGATGTTGTCATGGTTGCCCGTGGTGTTGGTGGTGTTCGTGGTCGAGGTGTAGCTGCGTCAACTCTACTTGCTGGTTGTGGTAGCCTTGGTGAGTTTTGGGGTTCGTGCCCACGGTGGCCGACGGGGGGCTGCAGTTTAGCATTCGCACCGTCGCCTTTGCTGTGCTCGTCGTAGTCACGTCGTGCTTCGCCTCATCGGCGGTCGGGCACGCTCCTCCTTCGCCACAGGAATGGTGGGGGGGGGCGAGCTACGTCCTGCCCCTCCGCCCTCCGATCCCGAGTCGAAGTTTGCTCCCGGCCTCACCAGGGCTTCCCTGACGTACGTGTGGTGTTGCTCGGGTTGGGTGGTGCTGTTACTCGGGTTGGGTGGTGCTGTTGTCGGGCATGAACAGGAACCCAGGTAGGGGGACCCGGTTCGTGGTGGGGCCCCGGAGCCTTCGCATTGGCCAGAGTCACTACACCAGGTTTGCCATAGCTGGTGTTTTTTCGGGTGACGGCAGTTCCGGTCGGTGGGAATGGGACTGGGGGGGCGCCCCCAGTACAGATCACTAAACCAGGTTCCACTAAACCCAGTTCTGCCAACGCCCGAGGTTGGGTCTTTTGACATGTACGTCGGTGGCTTGAGCGCGCTGCGTTGCTGATGCGGCCTCCCTGTGTGCGGTCGGCAAGCGTTGAGCGGACACAGTTGGTGGGCTGTGTGTGTTGTTTGTGATGGCAGGATGTGGAGCTGGTGTTGGTTGGAGTCGGAGTTGTTGTAAAGCTGCGGCTAGTGTGGCAGGTCGAGCGTGATTTCGTTGATGTCAGGCCCCAAAGTCGTGGGTGTGATTTTCGATGTGGTTGCCGTCTTTCTGTTCGTAGCCGTCGTTCATGTTGTTCGTGTGTGTGTGTGTGTGTGTGTCTTCGGTACCGTTGACATTGCTTCTTGGTCCGCATCTGGTGTCGGGCTACGTCGTGGTTGGGGGTTTGCTGTTGCAGCTTCCTTGGTGTTGCCTTCTTGCGACGGGCAGCTCTGTAAGGCGGCGCCTCCGAGCCAAAATGGCTGGTCGCCTGGTTGCACGCCGAGGTCGGGGGGGCGATTCGGGCGGGGTGGGCTGACGTCTCGACCCGCCCAGCGTGACCTCTTGGTGGGCGCCATGCTGCAAGCTGCGCTCTCGTGGCGCGCCTTTGCAGGGCTGGCCGAAGGCATGCTCCGGGGTCCAGCTCCAGTGTCTGAGCATGTGGCCCTCCTCCACCCCCGCCTCCTCCTCCTCAACTTCCCCTCCCTCCTCCATCCTGCAGCTGCAGGCATGCAGCGCCGACGCGGTGCGTCCGCAGCGCTGCGGAGGGACGAGCGAACGCAGGGGGGACGTGCAGATGATCAGTTTGAACGCGACGGCAGAACAATTGCGGACAGGAGGGGGGGCAGGCGATTAAATCATCAGTTTTTGCGGTTGGAGTTTATTACTGTGTCCAACTCAATGATTTTGAGGTCCCTGGGGGGAGGGGGGGCATTTTCCGAATCGCTTGCTCCCATGACCTTCTCGCGTGAAAACTACGTGGCCGACGTCGCGACTCGCGCTCGGCGCAGCCCCAGAAGCTTGAATTAGTCATCGGCGTTGGCGCCTGCCCTCCGCGCTCCCTCTCCCCCTGCCCTCTTGCTTGTTCAGTGTGCGTTGTGCGAGTGTAGTGGTACCCGCCGCCCAGCACTGGTCTATTTTCAGTGGCTGTGACCCGGCGCACGTGCATTCTGCATAGTTTTCTGCACATTTTCTGGCCTTCGTTTTCCATGCCAATGTGTGCCGATGCGCCGTCTAGGCGCGGCTTCTTCTGTTCTGTTCTGATTGGCGCCTGCGCTGTTCCATTCGGGGGGAAACGGGCGCTTTTTGTCGCAACTAGTCGGCGGCATAGCTGTTCAGTCTCGCGCAGTAGCAGGAGTTTCTCAATCGATCGCAACAGCTCCGACTCGCGCCCGCAGAGGCATCTCAGGAGTTGCCCCCCCCCCCCCCCCGTGCCCTGCAACGATTATATATATATATATATATATATATATACGTTTTCAGCCCGTGGGCCCTAGACTTCCCGACCCCTTTCTCGGGGCCAACGCTTTTCATCCCGCATCCCTCTCTGATAACCCGATGGCGCGATCTCGGCCGTTTATGACCCTCAGAACGTACCTTGGCGCCAACCTGTGCTTTTCCACCGAAGCCGTTCTTTGCGACGCAGGCAGCACAATGAGCGCGCTATCGGTAGAACGGATGGGTAGGCTAAGGATGAGCAGTTTCCCAATGATAGCCTTGCATCAAGGCCTCCTCGGCCATTCCTTCACCACTCTCGCCGGCCATGGGCGTCCAAAGGAAATGGGGGAGCGAGGGGGAGCAGTGGTAAGTAGAAGGCCTTACTCAGAGGGCGGCGGGGCTTCCCAGAGGCCCTCGCGCTTTGTGAGAAGTATGTTGCGTCTCCGGGCAAGGCTCAGAACAAGTCATCCGAAGGCTGGGGGGCTTCCGAAACTTCTGAGAATGCCCGCCCCTTCTCACTCCCCCCCGGGCTCGCCGCCGACTGCTATCCAATTTGACTGTTTCGGTGGAGCCGAACACGGAACACACACATACACACACACCACACACACACACACGCACACACACACACATACACACACACGCGTGCTCGCGCGCACACGCACACGCACACGCACACACGCACACACGCACACACGCACACACGCACACACGCACACACGCACACACGCACACACACACACGCACACACGCACACACGCACACACACACACACACGCACACACGCACACACGCGCACACACACACACACACACACACACACACTGCACACACGCACACACGCACACACGCACACACGCACACACGCACACACGCACACACGCACACACGCACACACGCACACACACGCACACACGCACACACGCACACACGCACACACGCACACACGCACACACGCACACACGCACACACGCACACACGCACACACGCACACACGCACACACGCACACACGCACACACGCACACACGCACACACGCACACACGCACACACGCACACACGCACACGCACACACGCGCACATACGGGCACTGGGCCACCGCACGCCTCGAGAGGCTCTTGGGCGGCCCCCCAGCAGCCCGCAGGGCGCTCCCCGGGACCGAAGAGGACGGCGCCCCCTCTCCCCCGCCGCAGCTCGGGGCTCCGCTGCCGCCGCCGCCGCCCGCTCGTTCGCGCGGAGGGGGCGGCCCGCCGAGGGGCCTCCCGCGGGGGCCGCCGCCCCGGCGCCGAGGGCCGGAGGGCGCCAGCTGTGCGCCCGCACCGAGCTTGGGCGCTGGCTCGCTGCGGGGTGCCCTGGCCGGGCACCCCGCCGGGGCACCCTGCCGGGGGGGTATAAGCGCTCGAGCAGGTGCAGTCCTCCTCCTGCTGCTCCTCCCCTCCTCCTCCCCCTCCGCCCCCTCCTCCTCCTCCCCCTCCTCCTCCTCCTCCTCCTTCCTCCTCCTCCTCCTCCTCCTCCTCACCCTTCTCCCCCCTCCTCCCTCCTCCTCCTCCTCCTCCTCCTCCTCCTCCCTCCTCCTCCTCCTCCTCCTCCTCCTCCTCCTCCTCCTCCTCCTCCTCCTGTGCGCCTCGCCCGCGTGCGCACCAGGTTGCCCGGCAAAGGCAAGGGTTTTTTGGGCAGGCCGATCCTGGAGCCAAGATTGGTGTGGATGCCTTCCTGCCCAGGCCAGGAGGGCGTGCAGTCGGGGCCCGGAAGAAGGAACCCTTTTCGTTGGGGAGGGGCTCCGTGTTCCTTAATTGTTTCGCAGCTTGCCTTGGAATTCCCTTCGGTTTTCGATACGAAATCGAAGTTCAACTTATGGAACATAGGGGCCTCGTTCCTTATTTAGGGTTCCTTAGGTCAACGCCTCGACTGTACCCATGCAACACCCTTCCGGTGATAAGAGGAGGTTCGGGGGGGAACCAGCACGTCACTCGATCGATCTCGCGATCGACCCATCCATCGATCTCACTATCGATCTTACGGTCGATCTGACAATCGGTCTCTGTATCGCCATCGCTATCGAGTTCACTATCGATCCTACGGTCGATCTGACCAGCGGTCGTACTAGCGATCCCAGTATCGATCCAGCTTGAATGATCTCAGTTGATCTATCTCACACTCTCTATCACACTCTCTATCACACAATCTATCACACAATCCCTCTCAGGATCAATCCTCCATTCGATCGCACTATCTATTGCTAAGGCCTTTTGGCCGGTGCCACCGACCCTGAAGGGGGACGACGACGAAGACAGCGGCGATGGAATTATTCCAAAAGTTACGGAATGGGAGGGAGGAGGAGAGGGGGACGGAGGAGGTGAAGGGGAAGGGGAAAAGGAGGGAGGAGGGAAGATACTTGGGAGGAGGAGGGATGACGAGCTGGATGGCGGAGGGTTCGCCATGGATTGGCCGTCTACCAGGATGGGGTTGGTGCGTCGCCACCAGGAAAAAGTGCAGCGCGGTAGCCACTTTTCTGAATATGCACCACCGGGCTGCCGACGACGACGACGCTGACGTGGGTCAGAGTCCTCAGGGATGTTTCTTGGGGTTGGTGTCTGGTCGAAACGCTCTTTGGGGCCACGGGGCCTTCTGGGGGCCTGTTCGGGCTTCCTGGAGGCCTCTCGGGAGCAGCTTGGGGTCTCTTCGGGGCTTCTTGTGGGCCTGTTGGGGAACTCTTGGTTTTTCCTGGGATGGGAGCACTCGGGGCGGAGGGCTCGAAGTGTCGGTTTTGCACCGTCTTGGAGCCGTCTCAGGGGCCTCAGGGGCTCCGGAGGCGTCGTGGGCCATCTCGGGGCTCTCTTGGGCCGTTTTGGGTCGCTCGTGGAGCCCTCTGGGGGTGTCTGGGGTTGATCGCTTGGGCCGTTTTGGAGCGTCGGGAAGCGGGGGAGGCGAGAACGCCGAAATCATTCGAAAACCCCTGGGATATCTACGGTGTTTTTTCTTGAGACACTGTTGGGGGTGCTCCTGGAGACCTCCTCGAGCGTCTTGCAGGATTCTTCGGCCGTCTGGAGGCCATCCAGGCGACTTAAACAGATCGTTCGGCGTTTCGGGGCCCTCGTGGACTGTCTTGGGGAGTTTTTTGGGCACTCGTGGCCCGTCTTGAAGATTTTCTGCGGCCCGGAAGCCCCCGGAGGGGAAGCGTGTTCGACCCGGGACCCCCCAGGTCCGGACCCGGGACCCCTCCCCCAGACCCCTTCCCCCCGCGTCTCGGCGGGGGAGGGATCAAAGGGAAGGCGGTTCCCTTCGAGTGTATGACACTGTTGCTAGATTTCGCGTTGGCTGACGCGGTTCAGGAGGAGAGTCCAGGAAAGGAGAGAGGAGCGGCGACGGGCACAGGGAAAAGAAAGTGCAGGGAAAGAGGACGACAGAGACGACAATGAACGAATGACGGCGACGACGACTCGCACGGAAAAGCTCCTCACACACGCCGACAGGGTCGGCGGATTTCACGATTGATCTCATGATCGATTTCACTATCGATCTTACTTTCTATACTGCTGTCAATATCATCGCCGATCTCAAAATCTATTTCACTATCTATATTGACATCTATCACACTATCGATATTACTATCGACCTCATTATCGATATCACAATCGCTCCCACTATTGATCTCACTATCGATTTCACCACGGGACGCCAGCGGGACATCGACGGGACACCGACAGGTCACCGGCGGGACACCACAGCGGCACACCCCGCGGCCACCGCCCGCCACGCGGCTGAGGGGCGGGCTTCAGTCCTCTCTGCGACCTAAATAGCCAGGGGAGGGTTCATTTTTCGCGCACGCCCACGCAGCTTCGCCTCGCCCGCACGCACGACACGAACCCGGAACCGGCACCGATTTCCCGTCGGGGGGGATCGATGCCTTGATTTTTCAGGACGAGGAGGAGGAGGAGGCGGAGGAGGAAGAGGAGGAGGGAGCAGCAGGAGGAGGGGGAGGAAGAGGAGGATGCGGAGGAGGAGGAACGGTGCTCCAGGAAGTCCCGATCCTTCCTGGGACCAGGTTTTCATCCCGAGTTTGTTTTTAAAGCCCCGAGGCCTGGCGAGGGCCCCCAGAGGCCGAACGTGGCCAAAATTTGTCCGTCCTGACTTTGGGCTAAGCCGCGAGCATGTCTGGGTAGTTGGCGGTCAGGATTTGTCCATACCCAGTGCGTCTTGGACTTTCTTGGATGGGGCGCCACATGCCCGAGGCGCACCGGAGATGGAGAAAGATCGAGCCTCCAGGGGCCAGATGCTTGTCCATGTCCAGTGCGCCTCGGGTCTCTGGTCGGAGGTTGATCGACCTCATACCCTGACACGTCGATTAGCGAATTGGCCGTCTTCGGTTCGCGAGAGGGCGTCGCGGCCGTCATTTTGGCGGGTCCAGGTCCGTCGGCTTTGGTCCTAGGCCGTTTTCACTAAAGGGAGGTTTGCCAAAGGGAGGTTTGTCCACCGCCGATTTGGGGGAAAAGGGCCCGAAACTTCATAGCTGCAGCGGAGGTGGACACAGGTCTTGCCCGCACAGCTGGCGCCCTCCCGCAGAAAGGGGGGGCCCATGGCTGCTGCCGCGCGCGCGCCCCTCGCGCCCGGCGTGCCCCTGCGGCCGGCGGCGTCCGCATCGGGCCGCGCCCCTGGTGGCGGCGCTGCCGCTCGGCGCTGCGGGGCCAACGCGCCGCGGCCGCAGAGGTGGGACGGCCGGCGGACGGGAGAGGGTCTCGGCCGCACGCAGCGGAGGAGCAGGGTGAAGTCGGGCCTGTCCCTCTACGGGAGGAATATTCAAAGATAGTCAAACGACAGTCTGGGGACTGTTTTTCTTTGTGGCCAGTGTTGATCGTTTTTAGATCTGCTTGGGGTATTCTTTATTTTTCGTCCGAAATCGGCCTGTGGGGGGACAGGCCCGACTTGAGGGTAGGGGGAGGGGGGAAGGCGTCTTAGAAGCACCCCTGCTCCTTAGAGGGCGCGGGCCTTGCCTGTGGATGTGAGGCCGGCGTCCTCCGAGAGGCAGCCTGCTTCTCAGAAGCCTTCCCCCCTCCCCTCCTGCCCCCTCGTGCGCATTGCCATGTCGGACGGGGCTGGGACGATGATGAATCCGTTCCAGAGCGTTCGGGGACGTTCGCAGAGCGTTCCGGAGCGCCGTGAGAAGGCCGCCACGCCCGATACATCCTCCAGAGCCGTTGGATCTCAGAGATTCTCGCTTCATCATCATCCTCGTCCTGGCTGCGTCTTATGCCTTATGGGGTCGGTGGTTCAAAGATGGGGTACTGAGGGATGGGGTCCTACGGATAGAGAGGGATCGAAGGGTGGATGTACGTTGTTTGAGGCACTTTGCTCTTGTGACCACATCTTTCAGGAGCCCATCTTTGAAGCACCCTTCAGAGTAGAATGAGCAACAGCTGCATGAACATCAGCTTTTGGAGATCCGCGCGGATTCCTTTGATCGGCCACTAGGCGCCCCTCGCGGCGCCTCCAGCGCCGATCCCAAAAATTCAGCGTGGAACTCCGCAGTCCCCGCGGATCTCCGAGAGGGGCGGGGTCGAGGTTCGGGACGGTCGAAATGGGTACGGAAAGAGTGGGCACGAAGACCACCATCAGTTACTGCCCACTGAACAGGACTCGCTGTCGTTGTCGCCGCGGACGTTGTCCATTCGAAACGCAAGGCCGCCTGCCAAACAGCGGCCGCTGTGGTGTATGTTTTTTTCCCCCGTTTTCCCAGGGAAGCAACGAAACATGTATACACCAGGACCCCATCTACACCAGGATCTGCTTCCTTGTGAGAGTTTCAGCGCAGGGCCGGAAGAAGCGTTGGTGCATAGAGTTCGGTTCCCTACCTCCCCCTGCCCCCCCCCCTCCCCGCCCCTGGAGCCGGTCGGTGCTCCTGGCCCAGAGCCCGAGCCGCCCCCCCCCGGGCGAGAGCCTCGGGCCCCCCCTCTGGCCCAGGAGCCTCGGGCCTGCCTGGCCACGCGGGGCCCCTCTGCTCTTCGCTGCTGCTCGTGCGTCCTCCGCCGTGCGCCACGGGCTGGTACCAGAGGAGGAGGAGGAGGAGGAGGAGGAGGAGGAGGAGGAGGAGGAGCAGGAGGAGGAGCAGGAGGAGGAGGGGGAGGAGGGGAAGGGGGAGGAGGAGGAGAAGGAGGAGGAGGAGGAGGAGGAGAAGGAGGAGGAGGAGGCGAAACCCTGGCGGACCCACCTGGCCGGCAGCCTCAATTCCAGGCCTCCTGGATGGGGTCGGAGCAGGCGGGGTCGGAGGATCGCGCCGCCTCGCCGATGCCTTGCCGATGCGGCTCGATACGGAGTCCGATTTTCTTCACGCGGACGTCGCCGATGCACTGCTGACGTCGACGATACATAGTTGGTGCATCGTCGATGCATCACCGATGCATCGCCGATGTGTCGGCGATGTATCGGCGATGCGGTTCGATCCTCCGACCCTATCTACTCCGACCCCATCTAGGAGGCCTCTATCAATGCCGCTCTCTGTCAAGCAATGGCGCAGCGTCCTGGTGTGCCTATAGGCCTACCAAGCACTGTTCTAAGAACCTGTTGTGATTTCCACGCCGTGTTCTCAGAACGTTTCTGGCTGGGGCTGGTCTGTTTTAACACATCAGGCTTATGTTCTAAGAACACTGCTTTTGTTCTTAAAACGTTTCTGTGCTCTGAGAAATTTCGTGTTTAAGGCCTACAGGAATGCCGGGGTGGTAGGCCCCTGCTCCACTCTGGCCCACATGGCCTCGGTCCCCCCCTCCGGCCCCGAGCCTCTCCCTCCCCCCGCGGCCCCCTGGGCCATCGCGGCAGGTTCGCGTCGTGTTTCGGGTGGCGGCAGCCCCGCCGCGGGCGCTCAGGGCTGCACGCTGCCGGTGGCCCCGAAGCGGCCCACGTTCGACGAGCGCGTCCCACTGCTCGCAGAGTGCCTGCTCGCAGACGTCCGACCCAGATCCCGTATTCCTCGATGCAGTCTGGCGTAGGTCCCCCACGGCGGATCCAGGCCATTGGCGAGTGGTCACCTTGCGAGTCGTGGAGCGCGCTCATCTATGCACGGACCGATCGGGCGACGAGAAGGCCGCCGATCCTTCGAGGCGGAACGACCGACGCGGCGTCGCAAGCCAGCGCCAGGGGTCGCCACGACCCGAACCTGCCGCACCCCAGCGGATCCCGGGGCCCCGCGGGCGCGCCGCGGCCCCCCGCCCCCGCCCCCTGGCCTGCGGCCTCCGCCGGGGCCCCCCCGGCCTGGCGCGCGTGCCTCGCCCGCGCAGCCCGTGCCCTGGAGCCCGGAGCGGCCGATGCTCAGGAAGGAAAAAAACACACAGACACAATTAATCGTCGATCCCCCAGAAAATATGGGAAAATATGGGAAGTGGTGGGGAAGACAAAAACCCAGAAAATATGGGAAAATATGGGGAATATTTTTATTTGTGTGTATTTATTTGTGTGTCCTAATTTCCCTTTAGATGCTCCTGCGCAGCTCGGCCGCGCGCGGAGGTCGGGGGCGGAGAAGAGGGGGGTGGTGACTAGGGGGGAGGTGGACATCGTGGCGGGGGCCAGGATATCTCCCCAGATTTTTCATGGCGCCTCCTTTTCTTTTAGGACGTCCCTGGCCCCCTCCCCAGGCCATGATTTGCACCACCCCCCCTCTTGGACGCCCCCCTCTTTGCCGCCCCCGAAGAGGGGGGCGGGGCGGAGGGGGGGAGGGCCTCGCCGAGGCGCCCCCGCGCTTCTCGGGAGGCGCGGGCCTCGTCTCCGGACGCGGGGGCCGCGTCCGGCGTGGGTCTCCACGGGGCGCGTGGAGCTGTCCGGGCCGGGCCGCCGTCTCCGTGCAGGTGGGCGCTCGGGAGGTGCAGGGCCAGCAGACATCAGACAGAGCCTTCTGAGTTGCGCTTGGAGGAAGCAAGACGGGGGGGGGTGTACATACCCGCCCCCCCCCGCCCTCAAAAGTCGGCGTGGGGGTAACTAGGGCTTCGAGGTCTCCCCCGTCCTCCCCCTCCAAAGTCGAAAGTTGGGGTAGGGGAGGGACAGAGGTTTGACCCGCAAGCGACGACGAAGTCCAGGATCAAGTCGGGCCTGTCCCTCTAGAGGGGGAATATTCAAAGGTAGTCAAACAGTGGTCTGGTGACTATTTTTAGTATGTTGGGGCATTTTTGGTTTTTTTTGTTTGGAGTATTTTCTATTTTTCGTCCACAGTCCTCCTGTAGGGGGCCACGCCCGACCTAAGACCAGGACGAGGACGACGACGACGTGTCCCGCCCGACGACGTCGGCGAGGTGTCCCGCCCGCCCCAACCGACCGGGCCCGCCCGCGACACTGTCGACGACGTCGGCGACGTTGACGACGACGTTGGCAGCGAGGACCACGGCGACGGCGACGGGGACGGCGATGGCTCGGGCCAGACATAGGAGGGGGATAGGGAAGGGGGGGGGAAAGGGGGGGGGGTCGAAATCTGCTGCATGCAGCTGGTCTCGGCCCCACCGAGGGGCCCATTCCTCGATACATAGCCACCTCCGGCGCCAGGAGGCGCCGGGAAAATCAGCTACGCGAGCTGATTCTCAAACCCCCCCTTTGCTATCCCCCCCTTTCGCCCGGCCCGAAACGACGACGACGACGGCGACGGAGACGGCCTTGGCGACGGCGACGACGTCCGACGTCCTACGCCATCAAACGAGCAGCAAACGACAACGACGACAACAAGGACGACGACGACATCGACGGCGACTGCGTGTCCCGCCCGGGCGACAGACTCGCCCACGACGACGAGTCCCGACCGACCTGCTGGCCCGCAGACGACGTCGTCGTCTGCTGGCGAGCAGTGCCAGCGCGACCTGTTTCTTTGGGATATTGTGGCATAGTTTTCCCAGCATTTCGTGCTGACGAATATCATCAACACCTTCTGCTGCTTCACGCCGTTTGAGATGAAGCATACCGCCTAATCGGCCTGATACATGTGGTGAGACTGGAGTGAAACGTGAGGTACCCTAACCGGTACTTCGATTCCGGTTTCGGTTCGCGTCGTGCGTAGGCCAAGTCAGCAAACAAGCGCCGCCCCTCGGCAAGAATTTGAGAAATGCCCCCCTGCGCGGCAAAACATACAGAATTGGTTGTAAATCTGGATATGCTCATACCTATACATAATTCCCAGAACGGCGCTTGCACATTGGGGCTTCTTATTCTTGCTAGGGAACTGGGCTGGTGTGTCGGTCTGGCGGACACGTAGCCGCCGTCGCCGCGCCGTCGCCGCCTCGCCGCCGCTCGTCGTCTGAGCCTGTGTGTCCCTCTGGCGGCTATGTAGCCGACTTCGCCGCCACGGCGCCGCCCGTCGTCGAGGCGGGTGTGACGCTCTGGCGGCTATGTTGCCGCCGTTGCCGCACCGTCGCCGCCGCAGAGGTCGTCGCCGCAGAGGTCGTCGTCGGCGTCGTCGTCGTCGTCGGCGGTGTCTTCGGCGTCGTCGTCGGCGTCGGCGTCGTCGTCGTCGTCGGTGTCGTCGTCGTCGTGGTTGGCGTCGTCGTCGAAGTCGTTTGAGACGTCGTCGGTGTCGTCGTAGTCGTTGTCGGCGGCGTCGTCGTCGTCGTTGTCGCTGTCGTCGTCGGCGTCGGTGTCGTTGCCAAGTGCCATTTGGTACCTACCGTCACGATCTTAAGAGGTTTTGCGACCAAGTTGCGGGTCGGAGGGTGGGATGTTTGCCCGAGCAGTAGAGAGGTCAGCTTCAAGTTGAGCAAGTGATTGACTGCACAACATAGTTTGCACCACATAGATTGCACATCACAGATTTGCACCACATGTATTCTCCTCTCCAGAAAGAGAATAGAGTCTACCCCCGAGTTAAGGGTACACCTTTTCGTATTGCAATTGGTATGATGCTGTACATCCGTCCATTTTTTGAATCTGAGTTCGTACTATCCCAGCCAGGCCAGTATCGTCCCCCCTGCCATCTTCTGCAACAGAAATACTCTGCGCGCACTATCGTTTATCAAAAGTCATAAGTTTCCAATAATCCATTGCAAACAGATGGGACGAAGTGCGCGCGCGCGTCGTCGCGCGCACGCCGAAATTTTTCAAGAACCTTCGGTCTCGGAAGGATTTCAAAATCGAGGTTCCAAAACATACAACAACACATGGTTTCGCAACAGAGAGTTTCTCAAACAGCTTACGCGCGCGCTCTTGCAAAATCTTAAGAAAGCCATCGGTTTTTCAATAGTTTTAAGACATGCTACCACACGGGCTTCGCGCGCGCGCATGTCGAAATCTCGCATCGTCAACGACGCGGTCATCGTCGCCGGCGTGATCGGCATCAGCGCCGTCACTGGCCGTGCCGTCGTCGCTATTAGCATCGTCGCCCACATCGCTATTATCATCACCGTCGTGTCTACACTTGTCGACGTTGCTATGATACTGCAAAAGCCCAAGTCGGCGACTCGCACTCAAATGCCCGCCTGGATGTGCCGAGCGGTCAGCACCACCGCGGCCGCGTCGGTCGCGCCAAACTAGCCGCTGCGCGCGCATGCGCGGGCTGGCGCGGCCGCAGAGATGTTCCGGCCAGCGCCAAACACTCATCGCAATCGCCGCCGCATGATGTTTGAAAACCAAGTTGCGGGTGGGTGGTGGGATGTTTGCGCGAGCGGTGGGGTGGACAATTCACTGCGAACAAGCATTCGCTGCACCCCATAGATCGCGCCACAAAGATACGCAGTCGGTGTCTGCGGCGCCGTCGTCGTCGTTGTCGCTGTCGTGGCCAAGTGATATGTGGTACCTACCGTCACGGTCTTGTCTTAAGAAGTATTGCGACCAAGTTGCGGGTGGGAGGGTGGGATGTTTGCACGTCAGTAGAGAGGACAGCTTCAAGATGGTCAAAGTGAACTCCACCACATAGCACCCACAACGGGATAGTACTGGTCAAAGTGAACTCCACCACACAGCACCCACAACGGTCAAAGTGAACTCCACCTCGCGCCACAAGGATATGTAGCGGGGCCCAGCACCCACAACTTGGATAGTGCTCCACATCCCTCATCCCTCCCCTTTCCTCCCCTCCCCGCTCCCTCCCCCCTCCCTCTTCCCCCCCTCTCTCTCCCCATCCTCGCTCCCTCCCCCCCCTCGTCACCTCCTCGCTCCCTCCCCCCCCTCGTCCCCTCCTCGCTCCCTCCCCCCCCTCGTCCCCTCCCCCCCCCTCGTCCCCTCCTCGTCCCTCCCTCCCCCCTCCTCGCTCCTTCCCTCCCTCCCCCTTCTTCCCAGCAGGGGCGCAAACGCCCTGGCCCCTGCGACGCCGGCGCTGCTTGGGGCCGCCGCCGTCGGCCAGCTGTGCGCCCGCCGGCGCGGGGGGCGCCCCTCGGGCGCGCCGAGGCCCAGCGACGGCGGTGTCCTCTCTTCGCCCGTTTTCATCGGAGGGGGAGGAGGAGGAGGGGGAGGAGGAGGAGGGGGAGGAGGAGGAGGAGGAGGAGGAGGAGGAGGAGGAGGAGGAGGAGGAGGAGGAGGAGGAGGAGGAGGACGGGGAGGAGGAGAACGAGGAGGAGGAGGAGGAGGAGGAGGAGGAGGAGGAGGTCTGCCGGTGCGGAAGGGCGGGGCGGCGCGCCGCTTCGGCGTGGGTTCGCGGAGGAGTCTTCGGGGAGCGCTGGATCGCGTGGGGACGCGTTGTTGGACCTTCGCTGCGGGGTCGGGCGCGGCGCCCGCAGTTTCGAGATTCCTTGTCCTCCTCCCGGGAGGAGCGAGGGCAATGTGGTGGGCAGGGAGGAGGGGAGAGGGAGGAGGAGGAGGGAGGATGGAACCAGGAGGAGGGAGAGGGAGTGAGGGGGAGTAGAGGGAGGAGGAGGCAGGGAGGAGGGAGGAGGAGGCAGGGAGGAGGGAGAGGGAGTGAGGCAATGCGGGAGGCAGGAAGGAACCAGGAGGAGGGAGGATGCACAGTCAGGCGGCGAGCGGTGCTTGGCGAACCGCTCGGGTGTTCGCTGCGAGAGGGGAGCAGGTCCCGAGCATAGCCACGCGCAGCGCCATGACGACGACGGCGACGAGGCACGCTCGTGATCCGCACCAGAGCACGGTCTCGGGAGGCTGCCGGGGCTCAAGAGCCGGAGGTCAATGCAAACGGGGGTCCGTCAGAGCGCTGGATCGCTGAGCCACGGGTGCATGAACCTGGGCTTGGGTGCAGGGTCTTGCAGGATCCTGCTGCAGAGGGGGAGGAGGGGGAGGAGGGGGAGGAGGGGGAGGAGGCGGAGGAGGGGGAGGAGGAGGAGGAGGGGGAGGAGGGGGAGGGGGGGGAGGAGGGGAGGAGGAGGGGAGGGGAGGAGGAGGAGGAGGAGGAGGAGGAGGAGGAGGAGGAGGAGGGATCCTGCACAGCTCGACTGACCCGGGTTTGGATTGACCCAGGTCAGTATAGGTCCCCGAGGCTGTCCGTCCGTCTCCCCAGCTGTTTGAGCCGCGACGGTTTGAGCTTATTTGCTCTGGGACGCGTCGGCTACCGCCGATCTACCGCCGAGCGCGCCCCTGAGATAGGAAGCGCATGTCAGAGTGCATACCCGAAGTGTCTGGCTGCTGTTCCGCCGGTCTCTGTGATCGCGGGCAAGCCGCAGCACCGCTCAACGCCCCAATGCTCGGCAAGCCAAGGGGGTGGTCACGGCATAATGAAAAAAACGTCCCGAGAAGAGCAAGACGCATCGCAACGATGGAGACGAGGCGCACTGACGACGAGGACGACGGTGGCCACGACTACGACGGTGGCGACGACGATAACGGTCCCTGGGAGCCTCCCGAGGCCCAGAAAAGCCCAGGAGCCTCGATCATCCTCCACCTCTCTTACCTACTCCGTCTCCTCCTCCTCCTCCTCCTCCTCCCCCTCCTCCTCCTCCTCCTCCTCCTCCTCCTCCCCCTCCTCCCCCTCCTCCTCCTCCTCCTCCTCCTCCTCCTCCTCCTCCGCAATCCCTCGACGTCTGGCAGTGGTGCGCAGGCCCCGCGGGCCCGGTCGCGGGCCAACGTCGCTGGGCGCCCTGGACGCCGAGACCGAGAAGTTGATGCACGCGGGCATGCGGAACCTGCTGGGCGCCGAGGAGCCCAGGCGGAGGAGGAGGAGGAGGAGGAACTTGCCGGGCAGCAGCAGCAGCAGCAGAAGAAGAAGGAGCACACAGAGGTGGAGAGGGGAGACGGACGAGCCGAGTGAACAGGAGGAGGATCAGTAGGAGGAGGAGGAGGAGGAGGAGGAGGAGGAGGAGGAGGAGGGGGAGGAGGAGGGACGAGGAGTTGGCACGAGGAGGAGGAGGAGGAGGAGGAGCCGCAAGAAGGATGGGGATCTAGCGGGCTCTAGCTGGCCTGGTCAGCTTCACAGTAATGATGACCTTCGGAGACGACAGGAATGGGCGCTCACCCTCCCCTAAGGCCTATCCTCGGTCGCACGGGGTGGCCTCCGAAAAAGTGCGTATAGCCGCTCACACAAAGCCCCGCCTGTAGCTGTTGACAGTTGACTCCAGCGACGCGCACCCTCGGTCGTCCTGGTCCCCTTCTTGAGAGGGGTCGTGGGACGCCATACCAGCCACGATGCTCAGAAGAGGTCAAAGCGAGAAGGAAGGCGGTGGCAGTGCGCACGGTCATTGCCAGAAGTGTGATGAAAGGCCGGGGGTGAAACCGAGTTAGGCCCGCCTTTCTCAAATGGGCTACTGCCAGCGTTGTTGCTGGATATGTCGCTCGCGGGCGCCCTTCGCAAATAACTTCCTCCGAGCGGTGTAGTTGACGTGTCGTTCGTGGCCTGCCTTCTCGCATGAACTGTATCTTCCCAGCTCTGACGCCGATCTGTCGCTCACGGGTTGCCTTCTCGCACGACTTGCTCCCAGCGTTTTAGTTGGTATGTCGCCCATTGCCTGCCTTCTCGCATGAGTTACTCCCACGGTTGTTGCCGATGTGTCGCTCATTGCTTGTCTTCTCGCATGAACTACTCCCAGCGTTGTTGCCGATATGACGCTCACTGTCTGCCTTCTCGCGTGGACTACTCTCAGCGTTGTAGCAAGGAGGAGGGGGAGGAGGGGAGGGAAGAGCAGAAGAATAAGGAGAATGAGGGAGGAGAAGGTCGGGGGGCGGGGAGCAGGGATGAAGACAAAACCAGGAACAGATGACGAGAGTCATAGGAGGGGGGGGAGGGGAGGGAGGTGAAAGATTTGGGACTGGGAGGGAAGGGGGAGGGAACACTGGAGGGAGGGTGGGAGGAGGGGGGGGAGAAGAGAATGGGGTGCGGGAGCAGTGTGGGGCAGCGGGGAGGAGTGGGGGGGCAGGATAGGGCGGTGCAGCAAGCAGGGACGTCAGGGGCTCTCGGAACCCCTCGGGACGTCAAAGGCAGTTCGAAGTGGAAACAGAGTTACGTGAAGGGTGGTCGACGATGCAGGTTTTGAACGTCTTGGCCCTTCAGGGGGCCTCCACGAGAGGAAGTGAACTGAGAAGATGCGCTGAAAACAGTTTGACTCGAAGTTAAATTGAATCGAGTTTGAGTGAGCTGGAGACAGCTGTAGTCAGCGGAAGTGGAGTGGAGTGAATAGAAGGCGAGTGGAGCGGAACGAATGCAGGTGAAGCGAAGTGAAGTCAATTGAAGTGAAGGGGAACGAGGGAGAGCCTCAGGACAACAAGATGGCGCAAAAGTTGAACGAGGCGCTGTCCGCTACCGAGGAGGAGAAAGAAAAATTGCAGGAGGCGCTCAAGGAAGTCAAAGGTCTTAAGCTGAGCTTGTCGGCGTGGGAGGCCAGGCACCCGCCTCGTCATCTCCATGCTCCTCATCTCGTGCTCCCTTCTGCATTCGTTTATCATCCTTCCCTCTTCCCTCCCCCCCTACGTCCTCCTGCTCATCCTCCTCGTCCTCCTCGTGACACGATCTCCCCGTACTCTCCTGTCTCCTCGTCCTTTCTCTCCTCCGATTCTCGCCTCCCTCCACCTCATCACCCCTCCCCATCCTCCTCCCCTCAGTCATGCACCTCCTCCGCCAGGCCCTGCCCTGACCCCTGCGGGAGAACGGAAAACGCCGAAGACTTCAGATCGGAGCAGGGCGAGGTGAGGCAACGGCAGCTCGGAATCGGCCCCCAGACCCCTCCTGGGGCCCAGGACGCGCCAGCCTCCCGAGCTGCGTCCAGCCGTGGCGACGGGAGGGCCCTGTGCTCTGGCCCTCACCTCCGACCTCCAGGGCTTTCTGAGCCTTTCGGCCACGCGCCTCTGCGCGGCGGCTCTGGCCTCGGGCCGGCGCGGCTTTTCGGCTCCGTCCGAGGACCTCTCCCCTTCGGCTCCTCGCCTCCTGGCGCCACGGACGCAGGCCACGGAGGGCCATGGGAAGCCTTTGGTGGCTCTGTCGCCAGGCCCCCTGGAAGCCAGAGGAGGAGAAGGTGCCCATACCTCCACCCTTGCCTCGTTTTTTCCTTTTTGGGGCTCCTGGGGGACCCTCGTCGCCACCGCCGGGTTCGCCTCGACATTCCGGTCGGAACGCACCCTGGGAGAGGTCCGGGGAGCAGCGGTATCGGTATCTTTTGGTTTCCCCAGGAAGGGTGCACCAAGCCCAGCAGAGGAGGCGGGCGGCCCCGCCAGCCACCGATGGGTAGCCCGTGGATCTGCAGCTGTGGTTGCAGAGCATTGTGCGCGGGAGGTGAAGTCCACGGCGGCCGGGGGCGACAGCGGAGGCGGCTCCCAGCAGCAGGTGCGATCCCCCGACGGGCCCCTGCTCACCGAGGACGGGCTGCGCCAGCTCATCGAGTTGGCGAAAATGGCAGAAGACTGCGTGGCGGCGGTTAAGCATGCGCCATTTTCAAGGAGGTTGCAAGTAGTTAGCGTGGACTCCGATCCAGCAACGAGCGTCCACGGCGCTTTCGAGAGCGTGTGCACTTGCAGACGCAACTAGACCAGGACACAGCGGTTGGGGGAAAGGATATCGGCCCAAAAGCTTTTGCGGCAGCCTTTGCCTCGCCTTTGCGGTAAGGAGCCAGTCTGAACAGTGGGAAATCGACATCAGCCCCCACAATTGTGGATTTTACATGTCAACGCTTTGCATGTATGGCGAATGTGCGTGAGTGTAGGCGCCCTGTAGGCGAGGCCATTGCCAGCTGCCGCAGGGGGGCCCCGCGCGCGCGGCGACGTCCTGGGCCCACTCGACGCGCCCGCGCCGGCATTCCCGGGGCCGCGCGTGCCACGGCCGCGGGGTGCAGTTTGCGGCTACGGCGGCGCTGTCCCTTGCACGGCAGCGCCGCTGGCCCGGCCGAGGGCCGCCGCCCCCGCCTCCGTCGCCCCCTCATGACCCCGCCGACGGAAAAATTTAGATCGGGGGCGCTTCTCTTGAGGCACTTGGTCCAACATATAGTGATTTAGGTTTGATGTTCGTTAGATTAGTTGTTCATATAAACGTGTCGGGGCTCTCCCGCGCGAGAATTTCCGCTTCGGTGAACTGTAGATCGATGTTATGGTGAGTTTATCTAGGATTGTGTCGCCTGGTGCCTAAACTTTGTTTTGGGTGGGCCTGAACTTGTCGATGCGCGCCCGTGCGCGGCGGGCCCCGGGCGCCGTCCGGCCGGGGTTTTTGCCAGCGCCGCCGAGGGCTGACGCGCCCCTTGATTTGCGCTCTGTCACGAGCGCGTGACCATCCACAGTGGCATTGGGCAGTGGCCGCGCGTCAGCACAAGGCGACGCCAAGTTCAAGCGCCGATGAGCATGGCAGCAGCGCGCCGTGCGCATGGAATTGCGCGGCGCTGTCGTTGGCTGACCGTCGCGCAGTTTCCGCTTGCAGTCCACACGTCGTTTGACGGCCAACTGGTCTCAAGTTCCCGATGCGGGGGCGGGGGGCGCTTTTCACGCTTTCGCAGTCGACGGGGAGTTTGGGAGTGTTATGCGGGGTTTGGGGGGGGGGCGGGCGGGAGGAAGGGAAGGAGGGAGGGAGGGAGGGGGGAAGAGGAGGAGGAGGAGGAGGAGGAGGAGGAGGAGGACGAGGGGGAGGAGGAGGAGGAGGAGGAGGAGGTGGAGGATGAGGTGGAGGATGAGGAAGTGGAGGAGGAGGATGGCGACTAGGCCGGAGGGGGGAGGAGGAAAGAGAGGAACACATCAGGCGAACCGCCTGGGGCTTCTCAGCACACCAATGTGTGCAGCTTGTCGTCACCTTGGCGCGGTCACAACAATTGAGTAGGAGGTCCATCACAGAACTGATGCACCCCAGGATTATATTTCAGCGTTCCCACGAGGCACACATAAAGTTATTGGCCGTTGTAGCACAAGGCGGGGCGCCAAGCTACGAAAAGAGCAAGCTTGACCATTGCGACTTAAGCTCCGCCGCAGCCGCTCGAGCTTGTGCGTGGGATTCGGCGCGAAAGCAAAGCGTGGCTTGGGGAGGTTCAGGGCGGATTGAAGTGCACATGTTGGCGGCCACTTCGCGAATTCATTGTTGGTTGCATTGCAGTTTGTTTGCGTTCCGCGTGCTGCATTGCAGAGTTAGCTTGCCCTGCAAAGGCGCTGTTCGAGCTTGAGCTGAGGATTCCGCGTGGGAGGCAATCGTGGTTTGGAAGGTCCAGGGAGGGTTGAAGCGCACATGTCGGCGACAATCACGCGACGACATTTGTTTTCACATTGCAGTTTTTTGTTGCATTGCACTTCGTCTTGCATTGCAGTTTTTTGTTGTGCAGTTGCGGCGCTATTATGGAGCTTAGGATTCCGCGTGTGAGCCAAACGCGGGCTGGGGAGGTCAAGGGAGGATTTAAGAGCACATGCCGGTGACAGTCACACAGCACCATGTTCCAATGCGGGGCAGCTTCTTTTTGGAAGTAGTGTTACATTGCAGTTGCGTTTGCATTGCAGTGGCTTTGCGTTGCATTTTTTTTTGCGCGCTGCAGTGGTGCTGGTAGTTCTTGAGCTTCGTTGACGTTTCTGTTGCGCCGTAGTGGCACTGGTAAAAGGGCTTCGTGTTCCGCATGCGAGCCAAGCGTGGTTTGCGGAGATTCAGGGGGGGTCGACGCGCACATGTTGACGCCGACGACAGGAAAACAGTGGTGTGGCATTCTAGTCTGTCGTCACTGCAGTTGCTGCTGCATCAAAGTTGTCTCTGTGCGCTGCAGTGGCGCTGCCAGAGTTTCAGCCTGGGTTTCTGCGCGCTGGCCAAGCGTGGGCTGGGGAGGCACAGGGAGGGTTGAGGCGCACACGTCGGCAGCGACGACGCGAGCACAGTGTTTTGTACGTGGGTTTGTGTTGCATTTCAGTTTTTGTTGCGCTGTAGTGGCGCCTGGCTGGCTGGTTTGGCTAGCTGGCCTGACTGGTCTGGCTGGCTGGTCTGGCTGGCTGGTCTGGCTGGTCTGGCTAGTCCATTTGATCTGGGGCTTGTCTTCTTGGTCTGGGGAGGTTGGCCTGCTTACAACAGGGGCCCGACAACAAGAAGCCTTCCACAAGAAACCCAACCCTGATACCCCAGGACGTCCATCGATCTTTGGTGTGGGAACGTCACGCTTTCCACAACATAACCATCGAAACCCACAAAACCCAGGGCACCCTGGAAGCAAGCAGAGTGTTTCTTGGCATGGGTCTCCACTGTAGTCTGATCTGGGCTTTGCTGGTCTGAACGGCTAGCTGGTCTGATTGGTATGGTTGGTCGACCTGGCTGGCGCGTTGATCTACCTGGCTGGTCTGACTGGCTTGTCTGGCTAGTCTGCTTGGTCGGGTCGGTCTGGGTGGCAGGTCTGGTCTGTCTAGTCTATTCACTTGTGGCCCATCTTCTGCAAAACCTTTTCTGTTGCAATGCAATTTTGCTGATCAGGTTGATCTGCTTAGTCTGGTCTGGGCTTGTTTGTTCGGTCCAGTACATATTGCCCCGAGGCCGTGGACACATCCCACGAGCCAGTAAGAAGTGCCGTCGAAAGAGTTCCAGGAAACACAGAAGCACACACGCGGACCCCGAAGGACCCCCTATTATGATAGTGTTGGGGTCTGATGACAGGGCCTCTCGGTGCTTTTTCGGACCCTCGTGCTGCGCCTTGGGCTTCTCTTAAGTCCTCCTGGGACCAAGACTGCAGAGGACCCCAAGAGATTTCAAAGAGGACCCCTAGGGGGTCCCGAGAGGACTCCAAGCGGGTTCCAAGAAGGCCCCAAACAGTATCATACCAGAAGCTTCTGGTATGGGACTTGGGATCTGTTTGAGGGACCCTGTTGTGGCCTCTCGGGGCTTTTTCCTACCCACGTCGTCGTAGCCGGGGCTGGGACCGAGCGCACTGCTGCATCAAGTCCGGCTGCGGCGGAAAGGAAGGTGATAGAGGGGAGGGAAAGTCAATAGCCGTATCAGTTCTTGTGCCCCATCAGCATAGTACGGCGTCTGGGCATAAGATTTATCGCCTCGAGCGGCTTAGAATAGATTTTGCGGAGACTAGCCCCATCGGTTTCCGCAGCGGCTACGCCCTGCCAGGCTCATTTCGCCCTAGGCTCTCCGTCTTGCCTGCTCTGGGGCCATCCGCCGATTTGTGGAGTGAGGACGCGCTACTCACCTAAGGCCGAACCTCCTCGTCCTCATCCTCCTCCCGTCTCTTCTTCGCGGCGACGCCAGAAAATCGTCCCCCAGATTTCTCCAATGGTTCGTTCTGCCTGGAGTCTTTTGGGAATCCCAGCCGTGGAGACGAGGACGATCCAGGAGGTGCAAAAAGGCTACAAGCACGGCCAAATCCTCTGCCCTCAGTCCTCGTATTCTCCGTGCGCTCCCTCCCCGTCCTTACTTCCCGGAGGCCAGACACTCGTCCACGATGAACGATTTGCTGGCCGCGCGCACGAAGATAATTGACGCCAAGGACGACATGGAGGCCATGAGGACGTCGCCACCACCGCCGCCGCGGCTTGGCTCGGCTTCGCCTGGCTTGGCCCGGCTCGGCGTCGTCGCCTGCACTCTAGGCCTCCCAGATGGGGCCCGAGTAGATGGGTTCGGAGGGTCGCACCGCATCGCCGATGCATCGGCGATGCGGCTCGATGTGGAGCTTTCTGTTTCTCCACGCCGACAAGCCAATGCATCGCGGACATCGGCGATGCGGCGCGATCCTCCGACCCCATGTATTCGGGCCCCATCCAAGATGCCTCTATTAAACCCGATCGAGGTCCGAGGAGGCTTTGCAGGAGGAGGAGGAGGAGGAGGAGGAGGAGGAGGAGGAGGAGGAGGAGGAGGAGGAGAGGGAGGAGGAACGATGGTGCTGGGCAGTTTGAACACTTTCTGAGCTTACGGAAGCACCCAGGGGGCGTCCATCGGGGGATCTTTGAATATCTCCCGAGGACGTCGGGAGTCGCCGTCGTCTCTACAGCTTCTGCCCTGATTCGAGTAGGGGATCGACTACATTGATTCTTCCGTCGAGTCTATGAGAAAAGAGGCCTGCGCAGGATGTTCCGAGATCTCGGGAGCATTCTACGTATCGTTCGCAGATCCGACGGACAAAGCCATCGGACAAATCAATGTCGGGGCAAACCAATTCTGTAGTTGAGCCCCTGCTCGAATAACCGCCCCTTGAAGGGTGGGGGGGGGGGGGGGCCGACAGATGTACAGTCAGCCCGCATAGTAGGGATACGCAGCTCTCCAAGGGCACGGCTGGTCCGCGTCGTCTCGACTGGCGCTTGACCACGCCAGCGGCGTTCAGCGTGGAACGACGCCGGCGACCCGGACTCGGCCCAGCGTTGAACGATCGGACGTTCAAGAAACGGCCGCTCTTTTTTCGGGGGAGCGTAAGACCCGGGTTTGCCAGGACTCGGGTTCGCCATCGTTTTTTGACGACAGAGCGCCTCGGATTTTGACGAGGAGGAGTTTCGTGGCATGTCTGCAGCGGGAGGCCTCGTCAAAATGCAGGCTCGGCCTCGTCATTTTTTGACGACCTCGTCGGGGATTTCCGAGTCCCCTGTACCCAGGTCTTACGTCCCCCTGATCTTTCAAAGTTGAACGATCCTTGCGGTGTCATGAGCCCACGCCGAAGTGGGCACGACGTGAGCTGGCCGTGCCCCTGCATCCTTCCCGTTCAGGCCCATCCCGAGCCGCTCTTGCTGGCCGCGCCCTGCTCGCAGAGTGTCGACGTCACACGCCGGCGTCACACCGACATACTGATGCCATGTGGCTGTCGCCCCTCCAGGGGCGACGCGCGCGCCGAGAAGTCTTATGGTATGAGCTTCGTTGGGGGGCGCGTTCTGGCCATACCTCTCGGGAAGCGAGATATGCTGCACGACGGTTGCACTGCATGCTCAGGCCGGACGCGCGCCTCCGAGGAGGACATGTCGTACTGGTACGCCTGGGCGTCGCCGCGTCCCGTCCAAGGCCCCTGCATCCTTGCGTCTCTGTGCGTTCCATCTTGTCGGGCGTGGGGGGGAGACGGAGTTGCGCAGTGGCTCTGGACGCCCGAGATGGGCACGGAAAGAATGGGTACGATGCCCAACAGCAGTTCCTGTTCATTCTGAACAGGATTCGCTGTCCACGCCGCCGCGGCCTGTGTCCATTCGAGACAGGAGGCCGCCCGCCCAACAGCGGCCGCTGTTGGTTTGGGACAACATTTGCTGTTGGGCACTGTACCCATGTTTTCGGTACCCATGTTGGGCGTCCAAAGTGGCGAGGCTGCGGGTGCATATCTTGCGCGCCAGACGGCTTCTCGGGAGAGCGCCCGCCGCGTGGCTCCGCGGGGGCGCTTTTCCGCGGTTGCCCCGCGGCCGTCCCGCGCGCTGGGCGCACGTTCCCCTCGGGGAGGGGGGGGGCCGTGGCCACGCGATTGACTGTCCGGACTGACTGTATGCGCGGCCACGCCGCGGAACAACAACACCCTTGGGAGGGGGGGGGGGCCGTGGCCACGCGATTGCGATCGCGCGTCCTTCTCGTACGGACTGACTGTATGCGCGGCCACGCCGCAGCACAACGACAAGAAACAGCACAGCGCCGGGAGGGGGGGGGGGGCCGGGGGTCGCCGCCCCGCCGCGGGCCAGACAACCTCCGCTCTGCTACAGAGAGACGGGTCCCGTGGGCGCCTCCTGGGGTGGAAGGCGGCCTGGTTCTCCCTCCTCCTCCTCCTCCTCCTCCTCCTCCTCCTCCTCCTCCTCCTCCTGTCCCCGAATGTCGGCACGGCCAGCCGACAGAGAAGGGAGCGCCCAGGCTTCAGATTCGGCACGATCGAAGCGTGTTACGAAACGGCGGGGTACGATCGGAGGGGGGCGGGCCTCGGACCCCTATCCTGGGTCGCGGGCGGTTTTTGTTCTGCCCCGGTCCCCGAGTTCCGGCACGGCCAGAATTGGGCACGCGGGAGTTTGGCTGGCGGCAGCTGGTTTCGCCGTGACGGCAGCTGGCTTCGCCGACAGCAGCTGGTTTCGCCGACGGAGCTCGCTTCGCCGACGGAGGTGGTGTCGCCGGGCGGCGAAACCAGCCAAGCGAAACCAGCTGGGCGAAATTTGCCGTCGGCGAAACCAGCGGTCGCCCTCCTCCCCCCCCTCCGCCCAAGGTCGACATGCCAAATAAGAATACGTTCACATCGGGGCGCAAGAGGCGGGGGGCAATGCAAACGTGGGTCAGTCAGAGCGCCGGATCTTGCAGGACCCTGCAGGGCAAAGGGTGTATTCACTCGGGCTTGCGTGCAGGATCCTGCAGGGCCCGACTGATCCAGGTTCGCATGGACCCGTGCTGCCCTACCGAGTTTTTCGCACATTTTCAGGATCGGCGCTGGAGCCCGCTGGCGGCGCCTCTGGCGCCGCCCCTAGCCTAGGGGGGTCCAACGGTCGAGAGTTCATGCCTATGCGTTTTTGTTCTCCCGCCCGTCGTGGCGCCGCCCCCGAGGAAGGAGCTGCAGGCCGCCCTGTCTGCGGCCGACCTCGAGAGAGCCAAGCTGGAGGATTTCGCGGGCCGGGACGGGGAGGGCGGGGGCCAGTGGAGGGTTTCTCCGAAGGGCTTAGGCGACCCGTCCTCCTCCTCCTCCTCCTCCTCCTCCTCCTTCTCCTCCCCTTCCTCCCCCTCCTGGCCCTCCCCTACTCGGGTCGCCTACGGCCCAAGGGGAAACCGTCCAGGGGCCAGGGTTCGAGCGGAACGATGCCTTGGCGATTCCGTGTGCCGTTTTCTCTTCGATCTCGGCCCGCAGCACAGGCAGAGCGAAGAAGGCAGGACGAAGGACAGCGAGACCAGAACGAAAACGAGGGACCTGGTTTAGCTCGAGCGCTGCTGGGGGCAGACAAAGAAGGGGGACGGACCGGCTGTCCACTGAGGCGATCGCAAACGTGCATCAAGGGAGCGTGCATTAGCGACGGCTCCCGCTTCCGTGGGAAACCGCGGATTCCCGCCGACAGCGAGGCGGCACCGGCCGCGTTTTGGGGAACACACCTCCCGCGATCCATGGATTTGGCGACCGCTCGCCAAATCCGTGGGTCGCTCATCCTTGCTCGCGCGCGCCCCTGAATCGTGTTCTGCCTCTGGTCATGCCATTCTCCTTCTCCTCCTCCTCCTCCTCCTCCTCCTTTTTGCATTGTGGGGTGGGGGGGGGGCAACCAACTGCATCTGTGCACCGACACAGATCCTGGCCATGCTTGCGCGCCCCCGAGTCCACGAAGGTCAGGTGGGAAAAAAGCACACAGACACAATGAATTGTCGATTCCCCCGGAAAACATGGGAAAAGATTGGGAGGTGGGGAGAAAGACGGAAACCCAGAAGATGTGTGAAAATGTGGGGTATCCTGTTACTTGCGTCTATTCACTTGTGTGTCCCGGGGCCCCTTCAACGACGGAAGGGTCCACAGCGCGGGGCCGGTCTGGCAGGGCCTGGATCTGGGGAGCCACGACTTGGATCGGCAGTCGGCGTACGATCGGGCTTGGTGTGGCGGGCCGAGGGGGGGCGACCTGGCGAGGGAGGAGGCGCGCACTCAGGCCGATCGAGATGCGGATCGAGACCCGGAGGCGCCTTGAAACGACGCGAAGATCGGGACAGAATCGGATCGGGATGGCTCGAAATCTCTGAGAATCGGCGGGTTTGGAGGATGCATTGGGCGCCGCGGCCGCTCCGGAGCGTTCCAGAACGCTCTGAGAGCGCTCCAGAACGCTCTGGAGCGATTGATCCCGATCCTAGCCCTGTTTTAGACCTGGCGAGGGAGGAGACACGTATTCGCAGGCGATGTTTCTCCCCCGATCCCCGAGTTTCGCCCAAAAAGTTTGGCCGCTCAGAAAAATGGAAAAACCCTAGGATACACCCCAAGGGGGCTATTCGGACGCACCCCTATCGAGGATGGGCACCCCCCCATCGTACATCCCAGGGTTGGGCCCCAAATTTCTGGTCCATTCGGAAACCCCACGAAGCCTGGGATAGGGGTCGACGTATCCCTTGTTACGTATTCAGGCCGATCGAGGTGCGGATCGAGACCCGGAGGCGCCTGCTGCCGGGCGAGCGCCCGGCCCGCGGAGGGCCCGGCGGTCGAGGAGGGGGGGGGGGCGGGCCCCGGCGGGGGGCCGAGCGCCCCGCAGGCTCGGCCGAGGCAGAGGCATGCTCCTCCTCCTCCTCCTCCTCCTCATCCTCCTCTCCTCATCCTCCTCCTCCTCCTCCTCGCTCTTCTCCTCCTCCCCGCCCTCCTCCTCCTCCTCCTCCTCCTCCTCCTCCTCCTCCTCCTCCTCCCTCCTACCTCCTCCATTCGCCTTCCTCCTCCCTCATCCTCCCCTCCTTTCTCCTCCTCTCCCTCCTTTCCTCCTCCTCCTCCTCCTCATCCTCCTCCTCCTCCTCCTCCTCCTCCTCCTCTCCTCCCTCCTCCCTCCTCCTCCTCTTTCTCCTCCTCCTCCTCCTCCTCATCCTCCTCCTTCCTCCTCCGCCCTCCTCCTCATCTCCTCTCCCCCACCTCCCTCCTCTCCTCCTCCCTCCTCCCTTGTTTTCCTCCTCCTCCTCCTCCTCCTCCTTTTCCTCCTTGGCAAGCGCGTTTCACTTTTCGCAAAGTAGCTACTCGCAAATGGCGTGAATCCGCCGCTGCGGGAATGCACGCGCCATGAAGTAGAGGAAGACATGTGTTTCTGGACGTTTGAAAGTAACTAGGCACTATGCGAGTAGTGGAACGCGCTGGGTAAGAGAGAGAGGCACTCTTGTGATCGTTTTCTTCTTCACTGTTTTGCCGATCGGCGCGGGCCCTCGCACCCCCCATCTCGAAGAAGAAACACCACCATAATCTGGCGCTCCGCGCGGATTTCTTGGATCCGCGCCTGGCCCCCCCCTGGCGGCGCCACCGGCGCCGCCCCTGGCTCGCTCCGCGCGCCGGGGAGGGCCGGCGCGGATCCAAGAGATCCACGCGGAGCGCCAACAAAGTTCAGGAGGGGAAAAAACACAGACACAATAATCGTCAATTCCCATGAAAGTATGCGAAAATATGGGAAGTGGGGGGGAAGACGAGAGCCCCAAACATACCGGAAAATATGGGGAATCCTGTTATCTGTGTGTATTTAGTTGTGTGTCCCAGGGCACCTTCAAAGTATGTTTCTGGCGTTTTCTCTTTTTCCATCCCCCCCGTGGATCTTGGCTGTTTTTGGCGCCTGTCCGAGGCAGGCGGGGTCCCTGCCTCATCGGGCGCGGCAAACCGT